TTGATCTCATTGGTAACCCAATCAATATTTAATAACATGCTATTCAGCTTCCAAGTGTTTGAGTATTTTGGGTTGTTTTTATTGTAGTTTATTTCTAATATTATGCCATCGTGGTCTGAGAAGATGCTTTTTATGATTTCAGTCTTCTTGAATTTGGGGAGACTTTGCTTGTGACCCAAGAGCCTTTCTTTGGACTAGGCTCTCTTTCAGTCAGTTTTATGAATTTCAGAGGTCTCTATCCTGCATCTCTATTCACATTTCATTCTCCCTACCAGGGTTCCATTGGCCCCTGCTCTTCTTCTAGATCATGGTGCAACTTCATAATTTTCCCTAAAAAACCCTGAAGAGTTCCAGTCATGATGGCAGCATAGATAAATGTGGTACTCATCAAAATTTACAGCTGAAATACAGAACCACCTGAACTCTAGCTGAGTGGAAGTACTACAACTAGAGAATTAAAAGAGAAGCACATCAAGCCTGGCAGGAGGGGCAGACTCAGAGCAGAATCATGGGACCAGCTGGTCCCACGCCCACATGTGGCAGTTTAAAATTGGGAGGGATATCTTGGACATGGAGGTTTCCCTCAGGAGTGAGCGGTCCCTGCCCCACACCAGACCTCCAGCCCAGGGCTTCAGTGCCAGAAAGAGAAGTTCCCACACTTTCTGGCTGTAAAATCCATTGAGGAGTATGGCTGAGTGATACAGAGGCTGGGAGAGTCCCAGTCAGTTCCTCTTAAAGGGTCGGTACACGGACTTACTCAGACTTACTCACTCTGAGCTCCAGCACTAGGCAGCATCTTGAAAGGAACCTGGGGCCTACAACCAAGATTACTCTACCCAGCAAAGCTGTCATTTAGAATTGAAGGTCAGATAAAGAGCTTCTCAGGCAAGGAAAAGTTAAAGGAGTTCATTAACACCATAAATATATTACATGAAATGTTAAAGGGTCTTCTTTAAGGAGACAATGAAATAAAAGATAAAAAGTATGAACCATAAAATGGTAATAAATGCATACCTATCAACAACTGAATCTAAAAATAAAAATAAATGAACAAGGAAGCTAATGAACAAAATAAACTGGTGAATAAAATAGAACCAGAGCCCAGCTGGTATGGCTCAGTGGTTGAGCATCAACCTATGAACCAGGAGGTCATGGATTGGTGGCTGGTCAGGGCACATGCCCGGGATTGTGGACTTGAGCCCTGGTGGGGGTGTGCAGGAGGTAGCCAATTAATGATTCTCTCTCATCATTGTTGTTTCTGTTTCTCTCTTCCTCTCTGAAGAAAAAAGAATAGTACCAGAGGCACAGAACCATGGAAGAGCTGATGAATCTCAGAGGAAAGGGGGACCCAGAAGAGATTAACCAATGAATTTATATGCATATAGGCATTACCTGTGGACACAGACAGCAGGGTAGTGAAGGCCTGGGGTGGGGTGGGAACCAAGTGGAGGAAGGCAATGGGGGTGGGGCGGGGACATTTGTAATACTCTCAACAATAAATGTTTTTTAAAAAACAACCTTTGAAGAATTGTAGACAGTGTAGGTCTGGAGGTGGATTGGTGTGAGAAATGTGGGAAGTCTAGGCCAAGCCCACCTTTGGTGGGTGATGTGCTAAGGGGTCTTTTCAAATGGGGTTTCCCCTGGACAGTGTTCAAAGAAATCCATCTAAATCAAAGTGGGTTTTACTCTGAGCTTAGCGGTATCTTGGAAAGCAGAAGTCCAATGGAACTGGTTCAGGAACATTTTATTAAAATTTTGACGTGTTGTTTTCTTCTTGCACATAATGATGTTTCGTCATGCCCCTCCCTTTTTATCAGCACTGTATCTCTGTTGTAATGTGAGGTGCACTTCACAGTATATAAACGTCCCAGTCTACGGTCCTAGAAACCAGTCCTCCTGCTGCTCTGCCACCGACTGCTCTGGAGGGTCATTAAAGAACCATGGTGCCCAGAATCTTTGGTAAGAGGGCACCAGCCCCAAGTGTAGCTTATGTGTTATCTATCACACCCCTAATGTACCTTGGAACCTTAGATATAATGCTCTCTTCTATTTACCTCCTGGCTTTCCACCTCTTCATCACCCCCATGTTATCTGTGACTTTATCACAATCTCTTTCTTGACCTGCAAATTTTAAACTCTTAACTCTTCCTAGAGCTTACCATGCATTTCCTCATCTGTCAAGTCCAGTCTCCTGGACCCCTATCCAGAGTCAATCTCAAAGTCACTCCGAGCTGTAGTTCTTATTTGCATTCCATTAATGACTAATAATGTGCAGCTTCTCTTCATGTGCTTACTGGTCATTTGTGTATCCTTATTGGAAAAAATGTCTATTCAGGTGCTTTTCTACTTTTAAATTAGGTTATTTGTCTTTTTATTAAAGAAAACTCTTAGCCCTAACCGGTTTGGCTCAGTGGATAGAGTGTTGGCCTGTGGACTGAAGGGTCCCAGGTTTGATTCCGGTCAAGGGCATGTACCTTGGTTGCGGGCACATCCCAGTGGGAGGCAACTGATCAATGTTTCTCTCTCATTGATGTTTCTAACTCTCTATCCCTCTCCCTTCCTCTCTGTAAAAAATGAATAAAAATATATTAAAAAAGAAAACTTAGTTTTAAGAATTCTTAAGTATATTCTGGATATCTAACCCTTATCGTATGTATGATTGAAAATATTTTTCTCAATACATGGATTGTCTTTCCACGTCCTTGATATTACTGTTTGCAGTGCATATTTTTGTTTAATTTAGAGAGAGAGAGAGAAAGAGAGAGAGAGAGAGAGAGAGAGAGAGAGAGAGAGAGAGAAACATTGATTTGTTGTTCCATCTATTCACGCATTCATGGATTGATTCTTGCATGTACCCTGACTGAGGATTTGAACCCACAGCCTTGGCATATCTGGATGACACTCCAACAAGCTGAGCTACCTGGCCAGGGTTTGCAGTACATAGATTTTTAATTTTTATAAGGCCTATTTTTTTTTTGTCTCTTGTGCTTTTGGTGCCATATCTAAGAAAACACTGCTTAAACCACAGTACTTACGGTTTATTCCATTGTTTTCTCCTAAGAGTTTATAGCTTTAGCTCTTATGTTTAAGACTATGATTACTTTTAAAAAATATACTTTATTGATTTTTTACAGAGAGTAAGGGAGAGGGATAGAGAGTTAAAAACATCGATCAGCTGCCTCCTGCACACCCCCTACTGGGGATATGCCCACAACCAAGGTACATGCCCTTGACAAGAATTGAACCTGGGACCCTTGAGTCCGCAGGCTGACGCTCTATCCACTGAGCCAAACCGGTTAGGGCAGACTATGATTACTTTTGAGCTAATCTTTGTACATGGTATATACCACGGGATCACTCTTCTTTTTCTCCTTGTCCTCCTTCTCTTTTTTTTGCATATGGACATTTCATTTTCCCAGCGCCATTTGTTATAAAGATCATTCTTTCCCCCATTTAATGTCTTAGCACGTTTGTTGTCATTTAATTGACTATAAATGTAAGATTTTATTTCTGGACTGTTAATTCTATCTGAGGCAGGATAGTAAGGAGCCAGGGAAATTCCTTAACCAGTGGAATAAGAAAAATTGAGACATAATAATTAAACAAGGCCAAACAATTTGAGCAATTTATAGCCAGCTAACAAATCCCAAGATTTTAACTTCCCTAACCAAGGACAAGCAGGAGTAAAGGGTTTACACGTTCTAGCCTGTGCTGGGGCAGATCAGCCTCAATTACAGTCCCTCTTCAATAATGTTCTTAAAAAATAAAACTAACCAGAAAATAACCCTGGCCTCTTCTATACACACATTTTGGTGAATCAGCACATTGAAGGCTGCACCTGAAAAGCTCATGAATATTCTGTTGAGACTCTCCCCTGAGACCTTCCCTAGGACTTCGGTTGGTCAAAGAATGATAAAAAGCTTGAGAGAGGGAGAGAGAGAGAGAGAGAGAGAGAGAGAGAGCGAGAGAGAGAGAGGAAGGAACATCAATGTGAAAGAGACAAATTGATTGGTTGCCTCCCACAGGACAATTGAGTCTGCCTGAAGCCACCACTGGAGTTTCTAGCAGTTCTCCTGTCAGAGGGAAGTGCATAAGTGCATTCCTGGGAATATGAGAGGATGTCTTTGCCCCATAACCAGCCCATTATGCTTCCTGAGCTGCTGAGCCCTTATCTGAGTTTGTGGTGCAGTGTGGGGTGAGCTGGTTTCTAGCGGGTGGGCTGAGTATACAGGGTGGAGGCAGGTGTATTTGCCACCCCACCCACCATCACCTCTTCCCAGCTTCTGCTCTTGGGAGGCGCTTGTGTTTCTCAGGAGAAATGGCTGTTGCAATACAAGGAGGGATGACTCAGCACAGGTTCTGCCACTCTCTCCAACTCCTTCCACCTTAGTCTCTCCTCACTCCGGTCTACACTGCCTACTCTGCTGAAACCAGGGTAAGTGTCTGGGAATGAAATCCTGTGTGCCAGTCCTTTAAAAAAAGTGGATTTGACTCTAGGCAGGCCAGCTCTCTGGCTGATAGAAACACTGCTGGTTGCTGCATGGACAGCTGTGGCTGACTTTGCCTGGGGTCCTGGCCTCTCTCTTCTCTGGGGGGAACCTTTTCACCCTTAACCCATCACTCCTGAGAGCTTGGCCAGCAACTCTCAGAATCCCCATCCTTCCTACCAGTCTCGAGGTGGTTTCTGTCCTTCCTTGTTTAAAAGTCTCATCTTCAGCCACTCTTCAACAGGTATTTCTGGGTGAATAGTCTCCAATTTAGTTCTATTTCCAGTTAGATTCTGGGATCCACTTACACCATCTTCCCAATTCCTTTTTAGCAATGTTTTGTTTTTAGTGTACAAAGTTTGCAATTCTTTTGGTAAATTTCTTCATGAGAATTTTATTTTTGGTCTATTGTAAGTTGAATTATTTTTTTAAATTTCATTTTCATGTGGTCTTTGCTAGTGTATACAATTGATTTTTATATGTTGATCATGTATCTTACACCTTTGCTGACTTTCTCAGTTCATTCTGTTGGGACTTGGTAGCTTCTTTAGAATTTTTAACATACAAGATCATGTCATTGGCAAATAGAAATAGTTTTATTTCTTTTCTAATCTGAATGCACTTTATTTCTTTTCTGGCCTAATTTATCTGGCGTAACCATCCAGTGCTATGTTGAATATGAAGCATAGTAACCTCCATCTTAGGTAAAAACTGTTGTTTAAAATTTTAACCCTACTATTCTGGCTTTGTAAACATTTGCTTGCTTAAATAATAGGGAAAATAAGACCACTCCCCATAACAGAGAGGCCATAAAATGTGCCCCTGACAGAGTTGTTAGTGCTGGCGCCAGGCCAGGCCTTGAGAGATGGTCTCACGGCCCTGTCCCAGCAAACAGGACTTTTTCTCAAAAGGTCCGGAAGTCTTGTTCCAAATTTGGAAGACAAAGAGCTGAAAAACATATAAATAAGGAAGACTTCCACCATATTGGACCCAAGAATTTGAGAAGCAAGATTTCCTCTGGGCCCGCTAGTGCTAGCGAAATGAAAAGGACTCCAAATAAATTTGGCTTGTTGATTAAGGTGTCTTCTGATTTACAATATAACAGATAGAGTGGTGAGAGTGGACATACTTGTCCTGCTCTTGATGCTAAAGGGAGAGCATTCAGTCTTTCACCATTAAGGGTGATACCTTTTGAGCTTTAGTGTGGATACCCTTTATCAGACTGAGGAAGTTCTCTTCTATTAATAGCTTGTTCTTTTTAAATTATGAAAGTGTAGATTTTGTGAAATGCTTATTTTTCTGTATCATTTTAGATAATCATATGGTTTTCCTATATTGTAGTCATGTGATTGCACCTTTCAACAACCTTCATGTCCCAGCCTTTTCTACATTTCCTTCATCTCTCAAACTTCATCCACCTTCACAGTGCCCGGAGCTTAAATACAGGAAAACTCCAGCTCCAAACCTATTCAAGCCCAATCACGTCCCCAGAGCAAATGTGTACTCAGATTCCTCCTGTCAATCTAACCTCAGCTTTCTTCCTCCTTCCTATCACCTTACTGTTAACTTTAATACCCGCTCTGTTCTTCTCCCAATTGGGACACTTCACTGCATTCTTAGAATCCTAAGCTATGGTTCCATGAGTTTTCCCTGAATTCTCTCCCCTCAAATTGTCTGGGCTGCTCAGGCCCAGCTGTCTGGACTCCTGCCTGTGTCAGGAACTAGAACCTATGCAGAGATGACCCCAAACCCAAACCTTCAGAGCAAATCGGGAACTAAGCCTTCCCCACACTGGCCTGCCCTTCCTACATTCCACAATTCCTGCCTCAGCCTGAACCCTCCTTCCTTCTCCTCCAGGTTCCATCGGCATATTCTTCGTTCTCCTCCTCCACTGGTCAAAGGCAGACACAGGTGAGTGCAGGGTGGGGAAGAATGAAGAGGGATGAGGCTGCCTTGGGAAGGAGGATTGTGGTTCACAGAAGGCTCCTGATTTGGGGGTTGAGGATAGTGCCTGGTCCTCCCTGAACTCACCAGGTATTTCCTTTTCATTGTTGTTGTTCATCATTGCTCAAGGGTATTTTTCCATTAATCTTTAGAGAGAGGGAAGGAGAGGGAAGAAGGGAAAGATAGGGGGGAGAAAGAGAGAGAGAGAGAGAGGTGAGAAAGACACATTGATTGGTTTCCTCCCACATCTGCCGTGACTGGAACATCTGGAAACCCCAGTGGGAGGCTTGGTGCAGAGCACTGTAGGGTCATCAGGCTGATTTGAACCTGACAAGGATCAAACTGCAACCCAAGTATGCACCCTTGACCAGGAATTGAACCCAAGACCCTTTGGTGTGTGGGCCGCACCGTCCAGGGCTCCCCAATTTCTGTCCAGGGGCCCACATCACCTCAGGCCTGTGGCTGTGCCAGCAAGCACCCAGATGTGGGCACCGGATGTACAACCCCATGGAGCAATGCTGTGATCATGACACCATCCTGCCCCTCAACCGGACCAACCTCTGTGGTCTGGCCCCGCCTCTGTGGCCCCCAACTGCACATTCTGGCCCTGCTTTGAGCTCTGCTGTCCCGAGTCGTTTGGCCCCCAGAAGAGATTTGTTGTGAGACTGAAGGTTCTGGGGATAAAGTCACAGTGCCCTACCTCTCCCATCTCCAGAGTCTGTCCCAGGTAAGGACCCTGCCTCACTCAGGTGACAACAGGACAAGGGGGCTAAGGCAGGGATGGACTCTGGTGGTTGGGGCCCTCCCGGGTGGGGGTCTCAGATCTGTACCTCCCCATCCCTCTCCATGTCTGCATCTCTCCTAAAGTGCGCTGTCTCTGTCTCTCTCATTATCTGCAGCTTATGAGGGACAACCCAGCCATCTTCCTGGAAACTTGAAACATCTGGCTAGAAGCACACACCCTAGGATATGAGAAGAAATGGGTGGGTGGTATGGTTTTCAAATGATAAAACCATGTTCTAGAGTCTGGTGCGGTTAGATGTGTTCTTTCTGATTTCGTGTGGCAACTTTCTGAGAAATGATAACACAGGAACTTCTCTCTGCTCCTAAAGCCCCCCCTGCCCACAGCAATCAGTGTCTCCTCAGTCAGCCTAAGTATCCTCTCTCTCCTCTGGGTCAGGGTTCTTCTTTCATCAAGGGGACAAGGAGTGAGGATGGGGAGGTGGATATTCCTCCCTGTGGGGGGAGATGACCCAGGCCCAGAGCCACCTCGTGGTGCCTGCACCTGCAGCTCCTGTGGGAGGTGGGGAGGGTGGGAGCTTCCCTGAGGGGCTGGAGAGGAGAGGAGGGAGAGAGCCTCTGCCTCACTGTGATGGGCTAGTTTCTTGTTCTGAGCCAGCACTCTCTGCCCCGCACTCCCAGCTCCCAACACTTATTGTTATTCTTTTTCTTGTCATTCTTTTGATGGCCTGATGTCTGTGATTAAAGAGGGAGAGGCATACAGATTGTGAGTGAGTGAATGAGAGAGAAACAGAGAGTAAGAGGCAGACTCCTGGGCCAGTTTGTTTCCTACTGAGCGTCTTGGTCACAAGCACCTGGAAGCCCCAGTGGGAGGCTGGGTGCAGAGCACTGCAGGGTCAGCAGCTGATTTGGAACCTGGCTGGGCTATGACACCACGGGCTTGTCAAATGTAAGCCTGCATTTCCCATCTGATAACTGGAGACGAATAAGTCATGCAGTGGGCAAATGGGTACAGAGGTCTGCTCGGTGCAGGCACAGTATTAGTGTCGGGGTCACAGAGAGGACCGAGTCACTGTGCGGGACCAGGCCTGCTTCTGTGCTGGTATCAGGCCCTGAAGGGCTGAGAACAGACACAGGACCCAGCAAGTTCTCAGAGTTGCTCACTATTCTGACCCTCAGCAGGTCTTCATCCTGAGGGATCTGTCTCTGACTGCCCCTCCTTCCCTCTCCCAAGCTCAATGCCCATGTTTGTTCTATATGATCAGTTTCTCTCTTCCACGGGGCCTTTGCTCCTGTTAGTTCTCGTGTCTGAAATTCTCTTCCCCTGGGTCACTCCAAAAGCCTCAGCATCAATGTGTAACCCTCGTGACTCACAGAACTTAGGTTCACTCACCACATGTCATTTGTTTTGTTTTCTTATTTGACAACTTCTTTCCCTGAAATTAATGGTGAAAATAACATTTCTGATATAAAACCTTAAAAGTTTCTAAATATCATAGCAATCACGACAAAAAAGAACAAAGTTGAAGCATCACGCTACCTGATAACAAACTATACTGTAAGATTAGAGCACTGAAGGGTCCCTGGTTCGGTTTTGGTCAAGGGCATGTACCTAGGTTGCAGGCTCAATGCCCAGTAGGGGACGACGTGCAGGAGGCAGCCAATCAATGATTCTCATCATTTCTCTTCCTTTCTCTCAAATCAATAAAAAATATATATATATATTTTAAAAAAACATTGTACTGGTATAAAAAGACACACATAGATCAATGGAATATAGCGACTCCAAAAATAAAACCATGACTTTATGGTAAATTAATATTTGACAGAGTGCGGCCAGGCGGCTCGGACCGGGCAGGGCTTTCCTTGCCAATGGATTGTGTAGAATATATTGCCAGGCTCTTGTCTTCTGTTCACCATGGCTTCTTCTGATATCCAGGTGAAAGAATTGGAGACACGTGCTTCAGGCCAGGCTTTTGAGCTGATTCTCAACCCTCGATCAAAAGAATCTGTCCCAGAATTCCCCCCTTCCCCTCCAAAGAAGAAGGATCTTTCCCTGGACGAAATTCAGAAGAAATTAGAAGCTGCAGAAGAAAGACGCAAGTCCCATGAAGCTGAGGTCTGGAAGCAGCTTGCGGAGAAACGCGAGCACGAGAAAGAAGTGCTTCAGAAAGCAATCGAAGAGAACGACAACGTCAGTAAAATGGCAGAGGAGAAGCTGACCCACAAAATGGAAGCCAACAAGGAGACCCGAGAGGCACAGATGGCTGCCAAACTGGAGCGTTTGTGAGAGAAGGACAAGCACATTGAAGAAGTGCGGGAGAACGAAGAATCCAAAGATCCTGCTGATGAGACTGAAGCTGACTAATTTGTTTTGAGAACTGATTTTCTCCCCCTCCCCTTCCTAAATATCCAAAGACTGTACTGGCCAGTGTCATTTTCTTTTTGCCCTCCTGACTATTCTAGAAGCTGATGCTGAATATCTGTTCACTTTTAAATCCCAATTCTGTCCTGATCTTACCAGATGCTACTGTACTTGAATGGTTAATAAAACTGCACAGTGCTGTTAAAAAAAATTTGACAAAGGAGGAAAGAATGTACAATGGGGTAAAGACAATCTATTCAATAAATGGTGCTAGGAAAATTGGACAGAAACATGCCCCTACCTCCACAAAAGAAACCATACCACCACACACAAGAATAAACTAAAACTAGATAAAAGACTTAAATGTAAGTCTCAAAACCACAAAACTCCCAGAAGGAAAACATAGGCAGTAAAATCCTCAAGATTTCTCTTTAGTAATATTTTTTTGTAATATATCTTCTTGGGCAAGGGGAACAAAAGAAAAAATGAACAAATGGGACTATGTCAAACTAAAAAGTCTTTACACAGCAAAGGAAACCATCAGCAAAAGGAAAAGAGCACCCACTGAATGGGAGAAAATATTCACCAATGATACATCTGATAAGAGGTTAACACCCAAAATTTATAAAGAACTCATATATATCAACACACACACACACACACACACACACACACACACACACACACACTTCCCAATGAATCCAATTAAAAAATAGTAAAGGACTTGAATAGACACCTCTCCAAAGAAGACATATGAAAAGATGCTCAACATAACTAATCACCAGAAAAATGAAAATTAAAGCCACAATGAGATATCACTTCACACCTGTCAGAATGGCTACCATCAACAAATCAACTACCCACGTGTTGGGGAGGATGTGGAGAAAAGGGAGCCCTTGTGCATTATCGGTGGCAATGCAGACTGAGGCAGCCACTGTGGAAACCAGTATGGAGGTTCATTAAAAAATTAAAGACAGAACTGCCTTATGGCCTGGAGATTCTACTTCGGTGTATAGACAGGAAGAAACACAAAACACTAATATGAAAGAAAAACGCACCACTATGCTCATTGCAGCTTTATGCACAATAGCCAACCTATGGAAGTAACCCTAATGCACATCAATAGACAAGTGGATAA